TATATATATATATATATAATATTATATTATAGAGATATGGGGTCATTTGTATGCATAGCGTTTGAGCCGAAATTTATCCGTTTTTCAGCTATTATTCGCTCTTAAAAAAGAAAAATAATATATTTAGGAAAAAAAAATACTTTATTTACGTTAAAATATTAAAAAAATAAATAAATAAAAATAAATTTGAAATTTGACCCCTGACCGGGATCGAACTCCAGACCGCTTGGTCTACAATTCTCTTTGCTTCCTAGCACGTGGCACTACTGACCACGCCACGCTCACACGGTGTTCACATTATTAAGCTTAAAGTACTTTCCCGCTCTTTTTCAATGGAACCTATTTTGACCCATTGTGGTTCCCATAATTTGTCTATAAAAAATTGAATAAAAAACACACACATTTATTGAAAAACGTGAATCGTATTTTTGACTGATTGAAGCAAGTTGACTGTTTCAATCTAATCTGTATATTTTTGAAGCGAATGAAGTTTTTTAATCAAGTGAAAGGCTTTCACTGGTACATTGGATATTTCTTAACAAAAGCACTCAAAAATCGGCGTAACATGCGGTACACACTGCTCATCCGTGAGCCATGAAACAATTTTTATTTTTTCCGCAAGGACAGTCACTGCGCCGCGCACGACTCAACAGTGCGGCAGCATATAATTTTTTTTATGGCGCACTGACCAGCTGTGCGCCAATTTCTGCGTGTGAGACACTAATTAAATTTTATATATATTGAAACTCACACACGAGCGCGCTCATACGTCCCATATCCTTATTTTTGCACTCACTTCCAAAATCTCAATTTTTTCACTCACTAAATTTTTTTACTGTACACAAAACTTTTCAACTGACATGTGACACTAATTTGAAATAATCGAATCGACAACAAAAGACAATAGCGAAAATATTAATTTTTCTTTAATTTTAATTTTATTTTACTTTGTATGTCTTCTTTCTCTTCATTGTCATGTCATCCAATTCTGAACTATGTGCCAAATTTGAAGTCTGTAGCTAGTCGGCAAGTTAGTTTAAAATCGATTACGAAATTCCACCCGGACAGACATGCACGAAGGCAAGTTAATAAAAACGTGTTAAAAAAATATTTGCCAAAACTGAATCGTCTATAATTTATTTTAATGCAATGGCTTCCGCTGAGCCAATAAGAAAATTTCATTCTATAAGTATCTCAGAATTAAAAATACTATTAAAAAATTCAAAAATCGGGCCCTGTAATTTGTTGACAGTTTTACTCATTTAATTTCATGTTGAATGACTTATATTTAGTTTACAGTAGCTTACGGTATACAAACACACAAATTCTTTATTTTATTATACATGTACATAGATTAAGCCTAGTATGGAATCTTTATGTTTTAAAAGTTATGGTTTAGTAATCTACACTCGATGATAAATATAAATAATTTTATATTGTTTTTCTTTTCATAAGGGGTGCTTGTAAATTCACTTAGAGTGATGATATAATGAGTAAATTAAGTGAATGAGAAAATAAAAACGTTTTAATTTTGGAAAATGCTTTTGACTATTTCGTTTTAATTAAGCTAGTGGGATGCGCCCCCTGCTCGCTAATGCTCGCTAACACCCAAAAATTGCTACGCAATCAGATATGGTTTGCTTCGCAAACCAAGCACGCTTCGATCGCTACTAACTTAGGTACATTGCAAATGCACAAAATTCTAAGAATTCAAAACAATCATTCAAATCCATGTAACAACTTTTTTTAAAAAGAAAATTGCATCTTTTT